TGGACCAGCCGCGGGTCCTTCTCAGTACCAACATTCACAGTAGTGATTTCATCCATTAAGGGTTTAACAAATCTTTCCTGCTCTTGATCAATCAATCGTTGCAAAACCGGAGGAATTTCTTCCTCGTCGTTTTTATCAAAATTTTGAAAATCCTGATTTAAGCAATAAATCAAAAGCACAGAAAAATACTCAGAAACCACATTCACATCATTCTCATTAAATACTTCCAAGCCGTCCGATTCTTCTGTTATAACAGACTCAAAAGAAAAAGAAAATGACGACCTAGACAGGACTGTGGCATCCGGGTTATCACCCCCAGGAATACTGGACTCAGACTCAGTTGAGCTGGAACCTGATTCCGACTCACAAGACTCGGTGGAATCAGATTCCGGCTCACTACCTGACCCAGTGCTGTTGGACAAAAATCCTTCCTCGTACTGCCAAATGAGAGAGGGTGCGATGGATGCATCCAAAATAGTTGATGGTAGGCCCGCAACCGTTTCATTCCCGATCATGCATACTGAGGAGTTATCCCCTAAGAACTTCTGTTCGATCGGAGGATCTGAAAGTAGACATGCCAGTGTTACCCCCATTTCGTTTTCAGCGTCCTCAGACTGCACTTCCTTACTCTGTTCAGTCTCTGCCGACAGATCTGCCCGCCCTTCGGCGATGTCATTCTCAGGTAGCTGCAGGTCAAAGAAAATCTCAAAACCTGGCACGCGCTTCTTCTCCGCGTTCAGCCATGGTTCTGGGAAGCCACAAAACGGAAAGTCCTCCCCCTCCCAGACGAAGCGTCCGTTTACGGTACCCTGAATGGGCCTATGCATCAACTCAAAAGGCTTCCCAGCCTTCTTTGCTCTGGCTCTTCCGGCCATTTCCTTTCCTTTCCTTATCCAGTCCTCTTTGGTGGGTAGATAACCCAATCCAAAGGTATGAGGGTTGTGTGGCACTTCGGCCAATGCTGCGACGCCCTTCCGGCCGCTCTTGCCCAATCCCATCCCGAGGATGTGTTGGAGCTTGTTCATGAGATAGATTGCCTGAGCACTGACATATACCCCTTCATTAGCAGCCATGATGTCCTGTATCAGCCAAGGTAAAACCCGATATGAACACATCTTCCATACCGTGCTCAATTTCTAGAACAGGCATAGATACTTCCGGCGGCGGATGAATCGATGAATTTCCGAAAACGATGGCTACTCCCTTCCCATAGGGGTATTTCACCACTTGATGTAGGGTGGAGGAGACTGCCTTTACCTGATGCAGCCACGGCCGCCCTAAAAGTAGGTTGAAAGTTGCAGGAACCTCCAAGACATGGAAATCTATCTCATGCTGTCCCGGCCCAACCTTTGTTTGAATCTTAACTGTTCCCATTACTTCCTGGCTTGTGTTGTCATATGCCCGAATCACCTGGGCCGTGGGCACAAAATGCGCAATTTTCAAACCGATCGCATAGGCTGTCCTTGCTGGACAGACGTTGTTGGCGGACCCTGTGTCGACAAGCACCACGGGTATCCATTTATCTCTGCACTCCACAGAGATGTAGAGTGGCTTGTTATGGTTCGCACCCTCAGGTGGC